GGGCTGAACCCCAAAGCCCGAGTCCCACAGCCCCTGGGAAGGTGGGGAAGCCCCAACAACCAACACCAAGGCAGTGTATCCAGGAGCACCAGGCAAGGGGCTGCTACTTTGCACCTCAGTCACAGCCCGGGAAGCTGTGGCGACAAGAAAAGCCCCGATCCGAGGGGAAGCTCACCAACATTTTGTGTAAAATACTGACTGGCGGCTAGAGAAGAAACCCCACCGCAACCTGCTCACAGAGAGGATCAGTGAATGACTTGGAGAGGCTGTAATGAACGGCCCCATCCTGAGAGTGGGGGCTTTGGCTTTGCTGTCTGGGGCTCGGGCTCTTTGGGACAGAGGCAAGCAGACAGGAGAGCAAGTGAAAGAGACAGAGCAGTGGGCTCCATGGGCGAACGCAGCCCACTCTATAGTGCCACGTTTCCTGGTGTTTCCCCTCCTGCTAGCTCTAGTTCTTCCCTTGCTGGGCATGCACCCAAAGAAGCTCTGGTGTATTTCTCTTTTCTCCCTTTAACACCTGAGCACCTCCACCAGGCATTAGAGGGTGTGCATCTCACTGGCAACAATACGAGGAAAATCTTCAACTCTAGACCCTCGACCCCCGATAGGCAGACAGCTCTTCAACTTTCCTGGCTGTCCCATCACACTTCCGAAACACACATTAAAAATAAATCCAACCAAAGCATTTTTGGACTGCAGACAGTGGCACGAATACAGACCCCACATTCAAGCATTTCCCCTACGTTTGTAAGGAAAGCCGGATTTCTCCCCCGCCAGCAAGAGTCGCCAACAGCCCCTTATTACGAGGGACGTCCCTTCTTTTTTCCATCTCTTTCAGGGGTGCTGGAACAATGCGTATAATGGGGGTGCTGACAGACACTGACCCAAACTGTAAACTCTGTCTGTGATGGAAACCACTTCAAGGCAGGGGGGCGGCAGCACCCCCAGCACCCCCGTTCCAGCATCTATGATCTCTTCTGGACAGTTGCTGAGTGCTGCAAAAAGCAGCAAGAAATATCCCTGGTGAATGAAGGTGAGTCCTGCTAAGGATTAATAATAAAAATATCGGGAGGGGGTGGGGCAGGGGTGCTAAGAAAACAGTCCCTTATTTTTGAAATACAGTAGCAGCACCCCTACCTACAAGGAACACGAGAACCCCAGGGCACAAGAAAGCAGCTCCCATTTTATACCGACAAGCACCTTCAATCAATGAGTTGGCGACGTACCTTTGCTGAGAAGGAGAAGCAAAGCGCTCAGCCGCGTTGATAGAGGCCCGGGTTATGCGGAACAGCTACCTAGCGAGTTGCCCGCTCTTATTTTATAAGCATGCTGGGGTCATCATTACTTAACGCTAGCACAAGCCACACCCTGATCCCTGACACGCTTGTTTTTTGGAATGCAGCTCAGATGGCTTAAATCTGCACCCGATGAGGAACTGCAGAGACTTTCTGTCTTTCAGCTGCTCCCTGCAGGGAAACAAGGGACCGTGTGTTTCTACGTGGAGCACTTGCAGCTGCAGCTCAATACTTTGCAGCTCAACCCGACTGCATGGCAAGGGGCTGTCAGCGTTATTGAATCAGCCAGTTTAAAAAGGGTCGGTTTAAATGTCGCTCTCGCTGGTGGCGCTGCTCCCAGCCCAACTGGGGACTGGAGATCAGGGGCCAGCTTGTGATCTCAGTTACGCCAGAGACGGCCAGTGCAATTGGTCTGGATTTATGCTGGAGTAACTGGCTGCTGATGTGCTGAGACCACGGCCCATCATGCTGAGCGATAATTGTATCACCATTTCCTTGTGCACCTCGTCTGTCTCCATCTATTGTCTCATGTCCTAGACCAGGGGTGGGCAAACTCCGGCCTGCAGGCCAGATCCGGCCCCTCAGGGCTTTGGATCCGGCCCACGAGATTGCCACCCCTGTGGCACCACGGGCCTCCCACCGCTCCCAGAAGCGGCCGGCACCACATCTGTGCGGCTCCTGGGGGTGGGGGACAGAGGGCTCCGAGCGCTGCCCTCACCTGCAGGCACCGCCCCCTGCAGCTCCCATTGGCCGGGAACAGGGAACCAGGGCCAATGAGAGCTTCAGGGGAGATACCCACAGGCAAGGGCAGTGCATGGAGCCCTCTGCCCCCTCCCCCGCCCAGGGGCCGCAAGGACATGGTGTCGGCCGCTGACAGACGGCCACCCAAGCACAGCCTAGGAAAAACCCTGTCATGCCCTGGTCTGCCTGCACTGTGCCTGCACACACATGCACAGGATAAGCAGCCCCTGCAAAGCATGCGTTGTGCCACAGCTCCCTGAGGCACACACTGAATCGCAGCCTGGCCAACACCAGCAAGAGCCGAACTCACGGCAAGCTCTCAGTCCTCCCACCAGCAAAGGATGGCCACGGACACCATTTAAAACAGGCCTGCACTCAGCCATGCCCAGTGCTCCACCCCCTCATGCTGACCCTGTCCAGTTCTGCCTTAGGTTGCCCTTCCCACACAAAGGGAGCAAACCCCAAGTTCTGCCACTGCAGTTGCCTGCACGTCACAGCGCCGTGCAGCAGAAAACAGCTCGCAGGGCCGCAGCCCACCTCACAGCATGGCACCTGTCAGAGAAACCAGTCGGGGAGGTCATGCCTCCCCCCCACACCTGGCTGGGCCTGGCTATGGGCAGCCGTTTAGTACTCCAGCGTGCTGCATGCTGCCTCCGCCCTGTGATACCACGTGGGTTGTGCAGCCAGGGCTGTGCACCTTCCCCCATGCGATGGCTCTCAGCCTGCTGGCCACACACCCAGGCCAACATGGCAATCGTGTTCCCCAGATCTAGATCCGGGCACCACAATGACGCCAGCCTGAGCTCCAGAGATGCAGGGTCCCTGCAGCATCCGCTGGTCCACAGGGCTTTCGGGTGCTCAGCCTCTGGCAGTCAACGTGATGCTGGACTGTGGCATCTCACTTAGCAGCATTGACCTCGTGTGCTCCCAGCCATGGTAACCGCACCCCCGCGCCGGGGAGCCTGCTTTGCCCTGGGCCCCTGGGATTAGGAGCCTTGTCTAAACCCACACATGCCTGCCAGAGCTTAGCACCGGGAGAGCCAGCAGCCTTCTCCGTGACCAGGCATGGCTAGAGCAGGAGTCAAGTCAGAGGCCAGAACCCAAGGTCGGAGCTGAAGGCAGAAATCAGGGAAGTGCCAGGACTGGGTTACCTGGTCTGAGGCAGGGCTGGGGACAGGCAAGCACAGAACCTCTTCCAGCTGCAGCAAGCACTGTGAGCAGCTCCTGACCTGCTCCTGCTTACGAGCCGGTCTGCTGACTTCTCCAACCAGGCAGCCGGCTACAGCCCGCTGCACTCGTAGTGCTGCCCGGCACTGCTCTATCTGCCCTTTGCCTGCACGCTGGGACGTGCTGTGCCGGTTTGTGACCATGACACGAACATGAACATACCTGGGAGCAGTGGCCGAGGGCCAGGCATGCCTGGGATCAGTCAGTCGTGTGCAATGGCGCTCCTGCCTTTGGATGCCCTCTGCTTGCAGCTCATGAATGCTGTGCTGTGTGCTCAGTGCGGGGCATCTCTCTTCTCACCTGGGCTGTTCAACACTCTGCTCCGTGGGCTTGTTGCTCTCTGTGCCAGCCACGGCCTGCACCAAGGAGATGCTGTCCCGGAGACCAGCACCGGCTCAGTCTGACCACGACCCTGCCATGCTGGAGCCTGCCCCAGCACTGCCGTACGCTGGTGCCGTTTCCTCCACATCCTGTGTCCAGACAGCAGGTGCTGCCCCGTCGGGATCCCCTCAGTCAGAGTCACTTGTGATGGCTCCTGGGGGCTGCCACCCTCCCTTTATTCCCTTCCTGCCTCTATTCAGTCACATACCCCCAGGGGCGCCGCTGACCACTCCGGGAGGCAGCACTTCGCAGCCCTGGGGCCAGAGTGACAGTGAAGTTGCTGCTCCAGATTGCTGCAGTTCACTCGTGCTATGGGGCCTCCTCTAGGCCAGTATTGATATTTCAGCCTGGCCTCTCAGTGGCTGAGCCTCCCGGCCAGTGTCCACCTTGCACCTACAAGCCCCGAGAGCAGCTTCCCACAACTTCTTTCCTGGGCTGCTCCCCAGCCCCCAGGTGTGTATGCGTTGGGGAGAGACCAAGTGCTAGGCTCACTCCTTCTGAGCTGGCCACACCCGGTCTGCCCCGTGTGGCTCTCACCCTGAGCTGCCCGTCCCGCTCAACGCATGAGCTGGGGCTGATCGTTCAGAGGTGCTGAGTCTGTTCCACAGACATTGCTCTCAGTTGCTGTCCTGGGGGCTCTGCCCTTCTAAAATCTGGCCCGAGGGCAGGATCATGGGACTGATTTGTTCCCCCCATGTATCCTGTGCTGCTTCCCATGGTATGGGGCACGGCTTCTGGTATGCCTTTCCATGGGCACGCAACCCCCAGCACTTCCCCCCATGTGGCAAAGAAATCTACAGGCGATACAATGGGGAGTAGGGGAGAGACCCTGATTGTGGGAGTGCATTGCCCTCGCTGCAGGACCAGCTGCTCTTTGTTAAAGCAGAGTTCTGCTCCACTCTGCTAGAACCGCAGCTGCTTTCCAAGTCGTAGCTGGGCCATGCTTGCTCCCAGGGCCGGCTTCAGCTTTTCTGCCGCCCCCAAGCACCTGCTTCCTTAGCTGGTGCCTGGAGCCAGCCCCTCATGCTCCAGCCTCCGGGGTGCTGCCTGCACAAAGACAAGGATTTTGCTCCAGGATGAATAATTTGTGGCATTCCACAAAAACCCCTTTTTGTTTAGCAGCCCCGCCGCAAAATGTGTCATTAGCAGCAGCACCTGGGCCTGCCTCATTTCCAGCAAGCACTTTATGTAGGACTTTGCCTGTGGAATCTATAACTCACACTGCACCAGCCTCTGAATCACACAGCATTCAAACAGCTCAGCTGCACAGGAAACAAAGGGAAGTGCTGCATGCCAGGGATCCGGATTTGATGGGCTCCTTTAGGGAGCAGGGGCGACTGCAGGCCTGGCTGAGCACACATGTAAATCTGCTGAATCCTACGCGTTCGTTTGCTTAATGTGGAGGAGACAAAGGCGGATGAGTGTCCAAATGGGAAACATCCCACGGAGCTCAGAGCTCGAAGCGTGGGACACTGGGACCTGATTAGGAAACAGGTTTGTGTTCTTGGTTCACTAGATCTGGAGTGTCAGTTTGCTGAGCTGCCCCAAGGGCTGCCTGCTTTCAGCACCTCCCTTTCCAGCTTCGCACCGTCAGGGTGATACGCACTGGTGGTGTAGCCAGGTCACTCCCAGGATATGGGGGAGGTAATATCTTTTATTGGACCAGCGGCTGTTGGAGAGAGAGGCAAGCTTTCGAGCCATACAGAGCTAATGAAGATAAAAGACACACCTCACCCACCCTGTCCCTCTAATGGTCGTATTCATGACGTATTTTAATTAGTATCTGACCTAAATCAGCTCTGCTGAATTCGGTCACCGGGGCCCCAGCTGCTCCTGGCACCTGGGGCTGGGCGCACAGCTCACGTCAGCCAAAGAGGACCAAGCCCTCAACACGCACCAGAAGCAGAACTTGTCCCAGCCATCATGGAAATGCAGCAGCCTCCTAGCAGGGCTCAACAACGTTACCACAGCTGATACCACGCAGCCCTCTGTGAGCAAACCCCAGTGCACGTGGCCCAAGTGATGTGTGCCTCACAGAGTCACTGGGCTGCGCCCCCAGGGCCTGCAGGCTGACGGCTGCAGGGATGTGCCACCAGACACTGGAGAACGTGGGCTCCCGGAATACCAGCCCCTTTGTTTCCAGCTCTCCTGGCAGCCCCGGGGCCCACATCCACCGCAAGTGACCTAAGCTAGCCCTGCCAAGACAGTCCCTGAGTTCACAGGGACGAGGGCTGCTTGCCTGGACTCTCCCCTTGACGTCAGCCCATAAGCAGACAGAATCTAATCTCTGCATGAGCTGCAGGCAGCGTCTCCCCAAGAGAAGCCACAGAGACTGGCCCCCAAAGCGCGCATGCCCATGCAATCCTATGCTGCATGCAGCCCTGGCTGGAGAAGGCACCTGCCTGGACTTAGAGATGGGGGGCTGAGTCAGCCCCTTAGCCAGATCCCAGCCCACCAAACCAGAGCTCACCTCATGTGGCGTGTAAAGACAGTGAGAAGCTCACAGGCCCCTGCGCCAGGGTCAGTAAAACCCTCGGCCAAAGGTCACGACAGCCCCAGGCTCACCCTACAGCAGGACTTGGTGAGGGACGAGGCAGGAGAGTGGGAGATGGCCAGGAGTCTGTGTGCACAGATGTAGCCAGGATCCTCTCCTCTTCCCCTAGAGAACCATGGACACAATGGGGGGAGCTAGCAGCCATGGCTCAGTGCACCTTGGGGTGACCGTCTCTCTCCCCCAGCAAAGGCCCCAATGGGACCCCCAGAGCAGGCTAGAAGGGGGCAGGCAAGAGGCAGTTAAAACCTGCTCTCAGCTGGAACCCATGTGGCCCAAATTAATCTCCTTGAGCAGGACGGAGGAGCAGGGGGAGCTGGTATGTATGCAGACTGCCCCAACAACCCGCAGTGGGGAGGCCTTTATGCCCATGTGCTCAGGGTTCTCAGAGAGCGGGACAGACGCATGGCCCCTTGCTGCAGCCCGCATGCATTAGCAGGGCCGCTGTGACACAGTATTGGCTTTTCTCACAGCCAGGGCGAGACAGACGCAAACGGTGTGTAATGGAATATTTGTCTGTATAATAGGATTTGTAGCTGTTGCTCATTGTCAACCAAAGCATCATTTCTGTTCAGAAGCCCAGAGGGTGCGTGGCTAGGATCCCTTGGTTCTGTACAACAGCATCAGATATTAGCTTCATGTTAGCAAAGGATTGATTCCATGTAGAAGATTTCACTGCTCGGAGATTCTCTCTCACTCGCTCAAATGCCTGCGTTGGACAAAGAAACACACAGTCACTTTCTTGTCATTAAACCACTTCCTGTAATGCTTGTGCAATCAGACCTAGGAAGTGATTTTACATGCAGTGGGCCGAGCTTTCAGTACTGGCTCTGTGTGCCTACAACAAGCAGACACTATCATTGTGCAGCCGCACGTGTATTCGGTCAGAAATCCCCTTGATGCTCCGGTACCAGAGATCAGTCACCTCCTCCAGCCAGTGCAATGCTTGTGACAGGAGCTAGGGTCCCTGAGCTGGACAGGCAGAGATCCAGAATTCACACCTTGAGCTGTTACACTGACAATAATGACAGAGAAACCGAAGCCAGTGTCACACGTCAGTGCAACCACACCTGTATTCCCCCTCCATAGTACGTACGGTATTAGGGTGACCAGGTGTTTGTTTTTTACTGGAACATCCGGTCGAAACGGGACCTGGCGGCTCCAGTCAGCACTGCCGACCGGGCTGTTAAAAGTCTGGTTGACAGTGCTGCCCGGCTAAGGCAGGCTAGTCCCTACCTGTTCTGACACTGCGCTGCGCCCCAGAAGTGGACAGCAGGTCTGGCTCCTAGGCCGGGGGGGCCACAGGGCTCCACGCGTTACCCACACCTCGACCACTGGCTCCGCACTCCCATTGGCCAGGAACAGGCCGATGGGAACTGAGGGGAGGTGCCTGCGGGCGAGAGCCATGCAGAGCTGCCTGCGTGCCTCTGCCTAGGAGCCGGACCTGCTGCTGGCCGCTTCAGCTGCTGGTGTGGCAGATCAACACCCCTCACATAGCCATGGCCCTGCACAGACCGCGCGGCAGATCAATACCCCTTATGTAGCCAGCACTGAGCCCGGGGGCAGAGGCAGCATATTGTACATGAGTGCTGGGTGCATGGAGGGCATGCAGGGCTCTCGT